TGAAGAACTAGAGTAAGAATAGCTGAAAAATGTGTACATAAGTGTAAGGAGTTTTATATCGAGACTGCAAAACAGATATTAAGAATGTTTCCTTTCAACAACAAAGACGGTCAATCATTAAAATGTCTAAAGATGCTAAATCCCAAAGCAGTTCTGGATCCTTTAATGAAAAAGAAATTCCCTTTCATTGCAGATTTACGTCATATCTTCCCAAATATTCATCCAAATGATAAAACGGAACTAGATAGAGAATGGCGAATGTTAAGAAATGAAGAAATGTCAATTTATCTTTTGACCAGAAGAAAATTTCCGAAATTATCGACTTTTGGAAACATGTACACGAATTGAAAAATGGAGACGGGTCTCAACATTTCCCATATTGTGTGAATTTGTGAAGAAAACTTTTGTGCCTATTACATAGCAGCGCCACCGTGGAAATTTATTTTCAGCTATGAATATTATGAAAACTAAATTTCGCTTCAGAATATAGACGACAACTATTAAAGGTGCATTACACACTAAATCCAATCTAACCGATTGCTACTGATTTGAAACAGCCATAGAAATGCACATGAAGAAATTTAACAAAAATATGTTTGATTTTACTACCGACTTCTCAAAACCGCTCACTTTACCGATATTATTGAAGTATCTTCATGTCCTTACAGTATTACTTGTGTTGCATATGCAAATAATACTAATTTTCTTATAAAATCAAGTACTTGCAGAAATAACTGAGAAGGTCTACAAAAATGTTATTACATGGGCTACTGAAAATCATCCCATTCAACGTCAACAAAATAATATTGATGCAATATTAATGAAATCAACCAACTGAAATCTGGCAAATAAAAAAGCTTTTTTTTTTCTGATTGATTCGGCCGTTACTTGATGAAGATCCATAGTAATTTCATAAACTACACCTCACTATTTGATTTCCACACACTTTGTTTGTGGAGATCAAAGCTTGAGGTGTAGTTTATGAATAAAAAAACATGTGTAGTCATAATTTATACCCAGATGAAAAATAACTTTCATGACAAACTTACCCGTCGAGATATATATGGGAATAGAGGGAGTTCTTGGAGCAAAAACATGAAGTCCTTTGATATTTTCAAATCCACCATTCACAAATTACATCAACGTCCAACACGGTTCCCGTAGAAGAAATGGTGAGTCTATGAAAGCATAGAATACTTTGCTGGTTTTAATATCTTTGAATCTCAAATTCATAATCATCAAACAAGAGGAAATACAGGACAACTTCATTTACCAAAATACAATTTTACTAAGTCAATGAAATCATTATTTTATAAGGGTTTGAAAGAATACAATGAACTACCTAATCATATTGAAGATGTGAAAACAATGAATTTAAAACTAGTCTTGTTATGCATATAAGATCTAATCACTAATATTTGATCCAACATTATCATTATATATAGATTCATATTTACGAACCTATGTACATGTTAATATAGGTGTTTCTCAGAGAAATTAACTGAAAAATAATTTTTTCTCAAGTATAACCGCCAATATCGTAAAATCCCTACCTAATCTGCCTATCTCTGAATTGGTGAACTTTAGAAATTATCCCTCTCCTGGCTCTTCATTTTTTTAAACTCCTGTTACATGTGATGAAGTACAAAAAATCATTACATCTTTGAAAAATTCAGCTTGTCCGGATATCAATGGAATAAATAGTCGAATTATTAAACTTTCATGACAAACTTACCCGTAGAGATATATATGGGAATAGAGGGAGTTCTTGGAGCAAAAACATGAAGTCCTTTGATATTTTCAAATCCACCAGGGAATTGATTTTCCAAAAATTCAAATGCAGAGCACAGATTTTCTACAAGTTGTTCAGTACTCATTTTATTGTGACCAAACTGAAACGTGTAACTATCTCCTTTCAAATGCAGGTGGAAAAATACTTTGGATAACATTTTATTCACATGATCTTTCAAATTGCTAGATTGCAATTTAACAGGAATAGGAATCTTACGTTTTTTATAAAATATTTTCCCACAATTTTTAACTACTTTTCCACTGATTTTACCACACACTAAAAACATATCATATAAATCAACAAGTCTGGATTTCTGCTCAAAAGTCTCGTATTCAGTTCTTAGTTCATGCATTGTCATTATCTTCTTCACATTAGTTACGCCTTTAGTCTTTAGGAGGTTTTCATAGTGTTCAATATGTTTCTCATGTTCCTTGTTACCAATTCCTTTCACTTCTGAAACAATCAGGCATATTTCATCCTCAGGATTCAGAATACAGTTTTTCATGGGTATTCTCATTAGTTTTGGGTGGCCCAAAGGCACTTGGTGACAGTTCACTTGTAGAAATAGTGGAAAACTTTCATTGAATAACTGGTTTTTCAATTTAGGATTGCTTGCTCGAAATTCCACAATACCATTAATTGCCGAATTTACATCTTTCACTTTGATGTTGTATTTTTTTAGTATGGTTTCAGTAGAATCATTCTGCTTGGATTTCTTGTGTAAATCATTCTTCTTTAATTTTGAATCACTCTGTATATGAAAATTGTCTGGTGCACTGGAACTAGAAATAATTTTCTTTTCATCAGCAGTTGGATTGAGTGCTTTTCTGGTAGTAGGTTTTGTCACTTTTGAAATGTTCGAATTCTGATTTACATCTTTCACTTTAATGTTATATTTTTGTGGTATGGTATCACTAGCATTATTCTGCTTGGATTTCTTATGTGAATCATTCTTCTTCAACTTTGCATCACGCTGCATATGGAAATTATCTGGTTCATTCAAGAAAGAAATAATTTTCTTTTTATTAGCAGTTGGATTGGGTTCTTTTCTGGTAGTACGTTTTGTCACTTTTGAAATGTTAGAATTCTGAATTGAGGTTTCTTCAACATGCCAAACACCTTTGCTTTTTCGCGATTTTACTGAAACTGGTGAAACGCTTACTGATGTCTTCTTACGGTTTTGTGGCAGCTTCGCAACATTTGAACTCACATTGGAAAATTCCTTGGAAGGATTGGAAGGTTTTTTAATTTTTCCCATTTTATAAATTGTACTTTAACAAGCGACTACCAAAATATTAAGGTTAGAAACGTGTTTGTGCTTTGTGGTTAATCGTTATATTTCTTCTTCTTATTAATACTTTTTTGACACTTGGGTCTTTGGTGCATTAGCCAAGGATGCAGAATAGAGATGTGAAATCGTCTGAGATCATTTACTCACCTCACATCTATTCATTAATTTCTATAAACTATTTCTTTTTGTGCGTTGGTATGTTATGTTCAAGTAGGTAATAACTCTTTTCGCTTCGGAACAGTGGCGAATTGGATAAATTTAAGCAGAATTTTTGGTTTGTTTCATTTATAATTTAATGTGATTATTTTCTGGAAGTTTGATTGGAATATTTCTAACAGATGTTTTGATATTTTGTGAAATACTGGGTATATTCATTAGCACCAATATAGAAATAAATCTTAACTTTTGAACGAAACAAGATATAAACGTCGGGAAAAATTTGTGTAAATTGGTACCAATTTTAGTACTTTTTGGATGCCACTCAACATCAGGTGATTCAGTGGGCTGAAAGACCACGTCTGCCTGTCTACATTTATCGTTTACTGGTGGAAACTTTTTCAGCTAAATCCGCACTCGAAATTAGTGATGGGCATAATGGAATTCTTTGTAAATGAATTGTTTGAATAATCGAATTATCATTCGAATCATAAATTACTTGAATGAGCAGGAGAATCACTTAATAGACATCGATAATACAGTAGTTGTTCAGTATGTGAATGTATCTTATTAGATTAAACTGTGATTTTTACTGTGAACTAAAAACAATTTTCACTTCATTTTTATATATTGAGAATTCATTTTGAGTTCATTGAGTTCTATATATTTTAATTTTGAAACAACGTTTCATCTTATTGATTTTTAAGAATAATCATTGCCGAGCGTTCTCAATTGGCATTGGTACTAGGTGTATTTTTTCTCCATTAATATTATTTCAGATTGGGTCATTTCCGCCAAAAGTTATTAGCAGAATAACTGTTGTCAGAAATATCCCAAATTAGAATGGGATTGGTGCCAACAGAAGCACCTACTATCAGCAGGCGAACAATAGTGATTCGAGAACAGCTATATTCTGTTCTGCGATGCAAATACACTCAAATTAATTCAAATTATGGTCAAATGTGCTTGAATAATGAAGCAACGACTATATAATTAGAAGAAGAATAAATTCGAGTTATCTTGATACTCGATTAGATATCTCTAATTGTTATGATACTCGAATTATCGGTTATTTTTGTTTCGAATTAGCCCATCACTAGTTAAGATGGTTCTCCTCACCTCTACCAGTGCTACCAATCCTACTGCTTTAACAGTAGATTATCTGTTTTTTTATTGATGCCCCTGTTTTCTGTTTTATTCCCAATTTTTGTTTTTCAATTAGCCTACAGCGTCACCTATTACACTATGCATCACAATGTAATAAAACGAAATGACACTAGATGGCAGTGTCTACTCTTCTCGAGATTCGAAGAGAGAATTCCCCAACCACTGTCTATGTGATTCACAGTCATATTTTCACGTACGGAAAATAGCATATTGTTGTGTAATGTGTGGTGGCTACAGTATTTAAGTTTTGAATTATTGAAATATATGTAATCCCGCTGTTTACATTAAATAACATTATTTATAACGTCTTCGATAAAATGGACAGTGATTCATCCACAGAGAAAAGTCGTGGTTAAATGATCATACTTTCAAAGGCTCGTTAAGGAAAAGGACTAAAGGTGGGACCAATTTTTTTCGTACCGCGTGTAATTGTGACCGAAAATGTGGTATACACGAACTGTTACAACACAAAGATTCAACAAAACATGCGAAGAAATATTTGAAATTACGAAAACAACAAAAACTGACATCGATGTTTGCGTCAGCTTCCAATTCACAAGATATATGATGGAATTGGCCGATACTTGATGAAAATCCATAACTAACGTATTGAAAAAACATTTTACTGTAGTAAACACACCCGAAGAAGCTATTGTATAGCGAAACACGTGTTGCGTTTTTGTAAAACTATTTGGTGAAAATCTCGCAAAGTATTTTCTGAATACAGGTGAAGTAAAAATGGCCTGCTTTATTACTGAACATAATGTGTCTTTTAATATCGCATCTCATTTGAATAAATTGATTGACGCTGTATGTCCAGATTCGCAAATTGCGAAAAAATTATCAATGAGCCGCACAAAAAATAGAGCTGAATTTTCATTTGATCGGACTTCCATTGTCTGATATTATATAAAATGATTTGAAATCCCTGAAAGAACTAAAAAAGAAGAATACAAAATTAATAGCTGAAAAAACAATTATATTAGTCAAAAAAACCTGAAATGAAATGATAGTGAAATACAATACAAGTAAAAATAGAACATTTGAACAAAAAATAAAAATAAATGAGTTACGAGATTGGACTGATTCCTCCGAGAAATTTGACTATTTATGGGCCATTCGAGTACTTTTACTTATCTCCGCTTTCGTTTTTCCGCTTCACTGCTTAAGTGGATGACTGTTTGGCGGGGGTTGGCCATTTTTCGCTTGATTATGGGTTTCCATATGTACCGTATCTCTATGCTAGCTTGGCTGAATACATTGTTGAACAACATGTATGCAGCTTCTTTGAATTTCCTCCTAAACCAATGTTCGTCTCTGTGTATGATCTCAGCTTGGGACCACTCGATGTTCTGTTGATGGATCCAAATATGCTCTGCTATTCCTGATTTGCTGGTTTACCCTTGCTGGTTGTGACGGCTTATCTACGTTGCGAGGCTCCTGCTGTCTTTTAGCCAAAGTCTGTTCTACCATCGCTATGGAGTAACCATTCCGTTGAAGATCATTTTTGATGATGTCTAGTTCCTTCTCGACACCTTCCTTCGTATTACAGAGCCCGAAAGTATGGTCTAATAGAGTCTTGATGATTCCTTTTTTAGTCGATTGATGGTGGGTGGTTCCTTTAGATGTTCATCTAATAAAATCATTGAAAAAAACAATATACGACTGTTACAGAAGAAATGAGATTTCTACAACTGAAATCAAAGGAAGAAATTGAAAACTTCCGGCCGTAACGTGAGCTGCTGTGACAAAACTTTTCAGAATTGGATAAAGAGACTATGATTTAGATTCGAAATAATAAACAAAAGTCAGGCAGTTATGGAAATCGGAAGAATAGTGGAATTGCATAACAAATACTTAGAACAAACAACTAAATATAGACAAGAACAACCACAAATTTTCAATTTGGACGAATCTTGGTATGTCACTCACAACAGAGTTACGAAAGGGTGGGCTGATGGTTCGATAATGTGTTCGCCTAACATGTCTGCAAACAAAGGATCGCGACTAATCACTGTGCATTGCGGAAATTATGTGGAAAAAAAACTTGAGGTCTGCAATGTTGACTATCGTATGAACATTGACGGTAATATTTTCGAGGCATGGTTTTATAACACATTGATTGAGTGCGAATAGTGTAATAGTTCTTGACAACGCTTTCTATTATTCGCGACAGCTCATCAAAGTACCAAATAAAAATTTGAGGAAAGACGAAATACGAAGTTTTTTGATGGATAACAATTTTGCAGATTACTAGGTATACCAAAAACCAACTACTTGAAGTTTAACAAACAAAACATTTGAAAAAGTGTATTCCCTTGAGAGTATTGCTGAAAAGTATGGACACACCATACTGAGACTTGCCACCTATTTTTGTGTTTTCAATACAATACAATACAATACTTTATTTTTCCTGAGACTTTTTTATAAGCATGGAAATCGTTACATACACAGTATATATTGGAGTTGAAAAAATATCAAGTGATAAAATATGGAACATACATAAAAAGAATTAAATCAATAGTTGATGTAGGTGATAATTATATAACACAATTTTTAAAAAAACATTGGGGGAAATTGAAACAGAGCATCAGGCGTCAAAATTTTCCAAAATTTGATAAGAAGGTAATATAGCTAATTAAAGAAAAAGTATCTAAAACCAGAAGAGAGGCATTTTCGTCCACTAATCTTACTTTATCGTAACTCAACAAATTGGTATTTTTTGTAGCCTAAAATAAAAATGGTAGGTACATTCTTTTGATCGAACTGTTTACAAAAATAAATTCTCTACCTGATAATGCAGAGTAGACACCGTTCTCTCCAAAAAGTCTCTCTGGCGTAAAAATTCGCTTTTTGCTTCTGTATCCTCTGCTTGAGTTACTTCAAAGTCCTTATCAGCGTTATACTTGTGATACATATCCTGAAATATTTGGATTTGAAAGATGCATTGAGGTGAATTTTTAATCTGTAGGTACTAACCTTAACAGATTTTTGCAACATTGGTATATTCTGTATGAATCCACTAGCATGGTGGATGTCTATTCTACCTGTATTTACAGAACTCAATGAAGAAATGGATTCCGAGACTCCAAAATATATTTACTATACGATAAAATGCTGACTGCATACACAACTATTTTGGAATGCTTTGTACAAACTGAATATTTGGATTTGACTGAAAAGGAAAAACATGAAGCACGAAATATTTTAGATGCAAAAGAAACTAAAATATTAAACCTCGACTTTTCGAATGAGTAGAAACATTTACCGCTGCAAGAAATATACGTCAGTGGAATGGTGCCAAATCTGATCTGGTGCCCAGCTACCAGAAATATAACTTTCCATCAGACGTGATGAGGCAGCGGACAGAGACTCCTTTATGGATAGCTCTGATAGAGAGATAATCTCCCCTACCTCCCGCCGCTTCGGGTTCCCTCTGACCCTAAGGGTAGCAACCTGTAAGGGTTCCTTGTCCAGGGATACGGACAGACAAGTTGAGGAATCACCCGACCATGGTGTGGTAAGAGATAAATTGAAGAACTAGAGTAAGAATAGCTGAAAAATGTGTACATAAGTGTAAGGAGTTTTATATCGAGACTGCAAAACAGATATTAAGAATGTTTCCTTTCAACAACAAAGACGGTCAATCATTAAAATGTCTAAAGATGCTAAATCCCAAAGCAGTTCTGGATCCTTTAATGAAAAAGAAATTCCCTTTCATTGCAGATTTACGTCATATCTTCCCAAATATTCATCCAAATGATAAAACGGAACTAGATAGAGAATGGCGAATGTTAAGAAATGAAGAAATGTCAATTTATCTTTTGACCAGAAGAAAATTTCCGAAATTATACACTTTTGGAAACATGTACACGAATTGAAAAATGGAGACGGGTCTCAACATTTCCCACATTGTGTGAATTGGTGAAGAAAACTTTTGTGCCTATTACATAGCAGCGCCACCGTGGAAATTTATTTTCAGCTATGAATATTATGAAAACTAAATTTCGCTTCAGAATATAGACGACAACTATTAAAGGTGCATTACACACTAAATCCAATCTAACCGATTGCTACTCATTTGAAACAGCCACAGAAATGCACATGAAGAAATTTAACAAAAATATGTTTGATTTTATAAATGGAAATGAGTTTGAGAATACTGAAGATGAGGCAATTGAGGATGAAAGTGGGAAATAATTTTACTTTGTTTTTTATTGTGATATGATCAATATTATAATATAACAATGTATGTGAGTTCTGGTAACTAATAAAAGTAGGCGATTGTTGTTTTTGAGTTTCTTGGTGTTGGCAACACTGACCACTGCCCTCCATAGTCTGTATATTTATTATAATTCTTCATATATCTAGCAGCTCAATAGTTATATGTCCATTAAAACACCTCAGGAACCTCCGCCTATGATTTTACGAGTTTTACGACAGTTTTATGACTTGGGCCCTCATTTTGTGCTATCGACAAATTATGAACGGACTATAGTGTTAAAAATGAAAAACGGCAGCTTTTCGAATACTGAAAAATTTGGTATGTTTCATGTTAAATTTTGTTCCAAAGAAATTGTGTTGATGCTGAACGTGCTCCAATAATTATCCAGAGAGGCGACAACCTGGTAAACCAATATTTATAAGTTTACTTCTTAATTTAAAAGAATACGGATCATTTAAAAAACCTGTGGTTTTCCAACAAAAGCAATCTAATGAAGAAAGTCAGCGTGACGTGTTACAGGTCGTTGTTGAAAATCCTGAGATATCCACTCGCACCATTGAACATAATATCATCCATATAAATTTAGGATTTGTCATGGACTCAGACCAGGTGACGATACAAGGTGAAAAACCTTTTGTGAAAATGCCAAGACGATGAAAATTTCCCTTTCAAAATTATTTGGTCTGATGAAACTAAGATCACCAACAATGGCATTTTCAATAGGCGGAATGTTCATTATTGGTCACAACAAAATCCGCGTGTACACAAAGTGTCCAGACACCAACATTGTCTCGATTTTAATATGTGGATTGGGATTCTCGGTACGAATGTAATTGGGCCTTTTTTTCTACCAAAATAAATTAAACAAAAGAGCGGCATTTAAATTTGTTAGTAAATGATTTGGAAGACGCTCTAGATAATTTGTTTTTAGCCGTTACTCACAGCTGCTGGTTTCAACAAGATGGTGCTCCAGTACATAACACTAGAATTGTTTGTGATTATTTGAACTGTCGCTTACCAAGACAGTGGATTGATACTCATAGTGATACATCCTGGCCTGCAAGGTCCACCGACCCAACCCCACTAGACTTTTTCCTTTGGAGATATATCAAGAATCAAGTGTACTCTCATAATTTTCAAAATGAAGAAGATGCGATAAGAGTGGTAACTGCATCCTTTAACAATATTGTTCCGAATATGTTAACTCAAGTTTCAAATTCGTCTGTGAGACGAGCGGACTTGTGCTTAGAAAATAATGGCAAGTCACACTTGTTTTATGTTTCTGTTTATTTCCTATAATATATATTAGCTCATTGTTATTACATTACAATTACATTTTATAAAGTAAACTTTTGATATTGCGACTTATCTCTGTATTCAACAACGCAAAAATTCCGGCAACTGGTACGTTAAAGGTTATTATAAATAAGACTGATCAATTTACTTCATGCATTAAAATATGTAATTTTTTCCAGCACGTACTTTCTAAAATTGAAGAAAAGTAGGTTAAGTAATCACTTTCCATTTTGCGCGAGAAATGGTCATGAAATCATATTGTGCGATACGTTGCTGTATTCACAATGAAAAATGGAGTTGTACACAGGGTATAATTTAGTTTCGGCCCATATGAAAATAAAAAGTTGATGATGTTTTCTGAAAGACGAAACGTCGCAGAAAAACTCTGCTTGTGTTATCGTGTAGTCCTTAAAAAGTGGCCATGGCAAGGTGCTATTTGTTTTACATTTTATTTGAGAATAAAGCTGGGAGAAAATTAAGACGAAATTCTCAAATTTCGGTTTTTCTCGGATATCTCTGAAACTATTTGGAATATAAATACAGGCTGATTCACGGTCGATGGCACATTAGACGTTTCTGGTGAACCAGACAACGGATCACTTTGAAAATTTAATGGAGGGCATATTCGGACATTCTCTAGCCAACTAAAATATTTTCGACAATGCGGTGTTGCCGCTTCTATTAGAAAGCAGTAGCAACTTTGATTTTTCAAATGGAACACTCTGTATATAATATTATTTTTGGAATC